GGGGGGGGAGGAGGAAGAAGGGGGGATCGTGTTCGGATGTCGGAAAAGTATCGATGGCAAAGCAGAAACCTACAGATCTGTATGGGAACGTGGGTGTCTCCCGCATTGCTGTTGCTTTTTGTCGCCGTCGTTTTCTCAGAGGGCTTTATAAAGCGATTATTTTTTACTGCGTTCACTCTAAGTGCTGCAGTTGGCTACCAAAGGTAGCGTGCTACGAGCAAATATGACCTATATAATTAGACATTTATAAACAGAAGCACAATGATACCTACTAAATTGATTGTTAACAGCACTTAATGCTCTTAAATTGGCCATTAAGTGCCGAATAATTTCTGGGGTATTATTGATATTATGAAGCATTACAGAGGTTTTATTTATTATCGTAAGCCTAATGGACTCAAGCAAATTGAATGTGTTTGAAAGGTCATTTTTTGCTTGGTGATTCTGTGACATCTTCTGATCAGTTTAATCAAATCAAATAGAAAAATCGCATCAGTATCTCGAAATGTGCTCCATTTCCATCTTCCCATTAGAAACAAACGCGTGCACCTTACAGAGCCCTGCGTTACCATGTAGGCATGAAAAACCCAAGCTTACAGTTAAAGTCAAATAATAAAAATAAGTGCTCCTGTGAACACTTACTTGCCACGCAGTTCCCATAGGTGAGCTAGAATCTGGCACTCTTATTCACAGTGGGCACAGCATCTCACTTCATCTTTTGAGGCTACTGAAACCATAAAAGTCGGTCCAATAAGGTACAATTCAACAGGAGAAATAGTGCTGAAATGTGCCACCAAGTAAGTAATTTAGAGCTGGTCTGGCTTCTGCTGGAGACAACAGTTGGTCTCATTGCAGTAGCATTAGACCCAATTTGCAGAACTGGTCCCCAAACCCAGACTCAGTGTATTCTTCATTGACACTGATCTTTAGAAAAGAAAATTAAAGGCAGTACTTCTGATAGTTCAAAATATGTCTCATTGCCATTTGTGTTTGGCAAAGAATTTCTCTGATCTTCACTGGGTCTTTAGATGCAGTAAATCTTCAAGCGTTTCGGGTGCCCAGACACACATGGCAGCTCCTGAGGGCAGATTTTTAAACCAATTTAGGCATTTACTTCCTTAATCAGTGGGAAGGAGCACCTAAATGTCTTTATAAATCTGGCTCTGAATCATGCACAACTGAGGAGCATACTATTTAGCAAAATCCCAGTGTAACTATTATAAGAGCGATGAAACCAAAAGTGTCTTACCGAAGTGTTTGGAATTAATCCAGCAGTTTGCAGCAGATCCACCATTTCAGATAATGAGACTGAGGAACAGTTTTTGATTCACTCATGTTAAACCCTTAATCTTACCACTGTCTGATTGACAAACCCTTGTACCTGGGTGCTTCTGATCATCGAGAGAGCTGATGTGATAGCTTCTCATCTGCTCAGCTTTGTTCACAGTGCCACCACCCTTTGGGAGATCTTTCTTCCCATACCCCTGACAGGGTCCCGCTGGCCCATTTAGTGGCTACCTCTTTCCAAGGTTGAGCCATGCTGATCCCAGACCTGTGGAGGGCTGCAGGGACTCAGCAGGATTTTCCCTGCAGCTATGGCCGCTGGGTGTGTGGTGGTCCTGACCTCAGGCAAGAAACTCTGGCTCTCCTTTATTTTCAAAATCTTCCTGACGGACCTAGCAGGAAGAAAGAGCTGATTCAAAGGGAAAGATGTGGAGATGACAGGTGACACTGTGTGTCCCTGCCCCAACCATAATAACCAGTACAGGGGCAAAGCAAAAGGTGATGTTGGAGCACAAGGCAATGTTTGGTAGATGAGCTACTCAGCTCCAGCAGCTGAGCCACTGCCTGTGACTAACCGTGAACGGTAGTTCTTGCGGTACGTATATCTGTGACAATGCAGGCTTTACAATTCAATGAAGAAATAGTTAAATTTCTTGAAGAGCACTTGTGGTATGAAAGAGAGGGGAAGGGAGAGGGAGACTGAAGAAAGCACTGATTCTACAGCAAGGGCAGCCTGTCCAGTAGCGGAGAGATTTTTCCTCTACCACTATTCATAGCCCATTATCACCAGAGAATGTGCAAGCTTGACTCCTCAGCAGACCACAGGGCAAATCAATCACATAAAAATGTATAGATTTAGATACATAAATGCTTTCGAAAGGGATGCCAACCTCTGTAGTCCTGGGATTTTTGAGGGCTTTTGGCTACATGCATGCTCCAGGACAGACCATCTATGTGGGACGGCTCATTTCCAGACGTCTGGGTAATTTGATGAAACAGAGTAAGAGGCAAAAGAGAGCAGCGGGAGAAGAGTAAATGAATAGTCCAGGGGTCAAACTGAAATTCTCAGACATCCCTCTGTGAAATGGTGGCACTCAGGAATATACCAATGTTTTGTGAGAGACGTGCACAATCGCAGTCGTTTGTTTTAAATTTAATTTTCACAATGAAAAATTATTTCAAATAATTTCAAATAATGCAACATATTGTGAGTGCAAGCAATTCTGTCTTTGTAGCTCAAAGGCTACAGCCTACAGCTCTTGCTCATTCCTTACCAGATAACACGTCTACCTACTTGAGGAGAGAGAAGAGTTTTAGAAAGCGAATTAAATGTTGTATGGATGAGAAGAAGGACTTGGGCCCAGATCTGGGAAAATGAACGGCGTGTACTACAGGAGACTGTGCTTGTCTTTTTAAAGAAAAGGCTGATCTGTTTAAACATGCCAAAACTTCTTTGTGGCTTTCCTTGTTTTCTTCACGTAGAGTGAAAACTAGCAGCTGGAATGGGAAGACCAAATGCATGGACTAAAATGGCTAATTCTCCATTTGAAAGCAACAGGTAGTGTGTGGAAGGTGGGAGAGGAAGTACTTGGGCTAGCTGAGAACTCATTTACTGTTTATTACATTCAAGAAAGCAATGTGCTTTGCACATGTAACCTCTTTGCACCTTAACTTCTCCATCTGTTAGATAAGAACAGCAATACTCAGCTTTGTGAAGCATTTTGGGGTGTCAGAAACATATATGTATATTTATATGTGTACAAACGCACACATTAGATTTTTTTTATGAATGAGAACATGCATCACATAATTATCTTTAAACTACTAGAAAAAAATACAATTTTATTTGTATTTCAGCTCCACTTCTACTCGTGTCGTCCCCATACAATTATTCCTATATTCCTGCATATATATTATTCATGTATCTCACCACCTTTTCTCGATCATTTTAATACACTGAAACATGTGAGTGGATTATTTGTTACATTCAAAAGTCATTGTCTCTTTGATTAGAAAACTTGAAGTTGCCAAGCTGGATAATGTTTAAGGGAAGAAAGATTACAGAATAGTAATAAGAACAGATTTTACTAAATTCTGTGGCAATCTTATTATAAAACCACTGTTACAGAAGAGATATACTTGCAAAAAGTATTCTGCCCTTTTTCTTTTCTACAAATGCTCTGAACATTCTCGCAGGAGCATCAGGAGATTATTCTGTAGTAGCTATTTCATATTTTTTTACTGTTTTAAATTGAATTAATTTTATTTGCTTTCAGGTCCTGTGTACATTATACATACACAGCTCCCTCTGAAACACGAGTGAATTTGGCTAGCTGTTTGGGGAGCAGGTCATGCTCCTAGATGATTTTTTTTTTTTGCGTCAGACTAGTATATTTTTCATCAACGACACTTCACAACAGGGAAGAACGGGTGTCAGGTTTCAGTCTCATATGTTCTGTAATTTTACATTCTGTGGCAATGCCCACGGTGCTGGAATAATTTGAAACAGAACTACAATCTTTCCAAGTTTTGTAGAATAAATGTTTAGAATTGGTAAGAGTTTTGAAATGCAAATGTCAAAATTCTTTAGAACAGTATGTGATTAATTCCTGAAGTACTAACAATGCTTGCCTGCACATATAATTAGTGATGGGACAGAGATAAAATACTTACAGGTACTAAAATAAATGGGGGTGTGATTTTTGGACAGCGAACTTGCAGCTCTGTTTAACGGAAGAGAACTGGTCCTCT